TACATGGAAAAAAAATCTACAGTTCGTAAGTAAACTATTATCATCCTTTATTACCCAAAGAATGAATCGTCCTTTGTCATCCGTATAAGGTGATCCCTGTCAAACCTCTGGGAAAAGGCTTTCACCTAATCAGTGGTTCTATATTAGTATCAGATATAAACATCAAAATATTGGAGTAATTTGACAAATCTATTGGCCTGCCAGATGTGCTCACACACACACCTATAATCCCAGTGCTCTGGGAAGTGGAGGCAGGAGAATCACAAATTCAAGCCTAGCTATCTTTGAGACTTATCAAGATATATCACTTTTAATAAAAGTTACTTCTTATAACATGATTAATAACTATCAAGAAATAAGGTCCTGGCTCTGATGAGCCATATGGACTGTCAGATTATGGCCCTGCCCTTCTCTGAACAGGATTTGGATAAAATATTCAAGAATTTTACATCCAGCCTTTGCTGACTGGGAATTCAAGAACCGATGCTCCTATCTAAGAGGTCACACAGATCTGTATCCCTAACCCCAGTGACTCCAGTTTTTTTTTTCAGTATCTGCTGGTCTCCCTGTTCCCTGAAGACTAACTGACTGGTCATCCAAACCATATGGCATAATTAGTCCTCTAATTGCTAACGGGAAGAGCAGGTGGGCGTGAGGCGGGGCGATGAGTCAGTGGGTGACTCATGTCCGAGTTAGATCCCAGGCAGGCCTGCAAGGTAACAGGGTTAAGATGGCTTGGAAGAAGGGCTTTGGAAATGCAGCCCTGTTCTTCACCTTTCTGCTTAAACTCTTTGGGTGGAGAACCAGAACTATTCTCTGGCGCTGGAAAACCCATGGGTACTGGGAAAGAACAGGACAGGACAGGTGCTGTCATGTGCATGTGAGCATGTGTGGTTGTGTCCCCATGTGTGTCACACACACAGTGTCAAGCCTCCTTCCCCCTCCTCAGTGAAATGGGAACAAAGCACCATCACACTAGGACTTTTATGTTCTTTCACGGAAAATATTTTCAGACTTTGCAGTGCCTTGTGAAACATTTAGGATAGGTAGCTTTTTTTCTTTAAAAAACTTTTTTTTACAAGATTTAATTAACAAAAATATACTAAGATATTCAAGTCAGAAATGCCTCAGAATGTGTTCTACAAGTTATTGTTTCTCTTCAAGTAACCTTTCTTTAATTGGACAGAAAAGACACCCTCTTAAAAAGCTTTTTTCAGTGGACAAGTTGGATTTACATTAGCTTTATTTTACCATTGGAGGCAGTGAGGAAAGATGACTTAAGTTCAAGCAGTTGGCACTCCTGAGACTGCAGGTAGTTTACTGAGCATTGAACAACGTGTGAAGATCGTGCATGGTACTGCTGCGCTCAGGTGAAACGAATGCTAACAATACTTCCAGCCTTCCTTTGATGGAGAGTCATTGTTTCATTGCAAAGTAGAACATAGTAACTGGGCATGCAGTGTCAGCTATTTGGCAGATTGAGACAGGAGGATCACTTGAGCCTAGGAGTTGGAAACCAGCCTGGGCAACATGGCAAGATTCCTAGTTTTTAAAAACTTAGAGTAAGAATATAACATAAAGTGCTGACAACATACAGGGCTGGAAAGAATAACTATCTAAGAGAAAGTAGAGATAATTAAGGATTCGATAACCTGTTCTGTACACACCCCAAATAGGTCAGAGGTACTAAGCATGTCTTACTCAGTGAGGATCAATGTGGGATTAAAGGCAGATTTAAGGGGCAAAGATAAATGTTTGGTCTTGGGATTGTTCCAACCAGCACCAGGTGTCAGTTAAGGTCCTGCTCCCTGTTGTCGTGCTGTGGGGGCAGCAGTGGAGGAAAAATCGCAAATGAGGGTGACTAAGAAGCTGCAGATGTGTGTGTTTTCATGCCAAAAGCCTCCAGAAAATTCTTTAATACTTAATTTTCCTGACAAACGTCTCAGACCAAAAAGAGTTGCAGACAGAACTTCCGAGAGTGACTATGGAAACAGAAAAGAAAGCAACAGAAAAGTTCCGTGTTATGCCAGAACCATCCAAGGTATTAAGCAATAAAAACAAGAGAGCTTTTGGAAGTTGTAAATGTAGAAGGAAGCAACCTTATTTTAAGAATCTATACATAAGATCATCTTTAGCAAATTGTAATATAATAATCAGAAGACTTAAAGACTGAAATAATTACAGTAGACATAAGTGACTCAGAAGACATCACTTAGAGGTCCCTAGCTGAACAGCTGGACTAAGAGAGAGAAATGAGGTCGAACGCTAAACAAGCTGAAAAGAAACTTACGGATTACATTGACAAAGAGCATAAATAAACAAGCAAGTGAAAAAAGAAATTATTTCATAGCCTGGCCCTTCTTACCACAGATGAACTAAAGGTTACTTTTAAGGAAAAAAATTCTAAGACACAACTGGAAGCTGCGGTTCATGAACTTCAAAATGAAAATCTTGAAGACTATTGAATTAATGGAAGGAAGAGATCCACAAGAGGATCATAGCAGACAGTTAAGGACCCTGGAAAAAGCATTAGAAAAACTGGAAAGACAAAAGGAGCAGCACAAAGGAGACCTCTCCAAGAGCTGGAGCTCAGAGCTGCAGCTGCTGACGGAGAAACTCACTCCAAACCTCTCCACCAAGCGAAGGAGCAAGGAGCAATTTCCCGAACCCCTGGCGGTGAGAGGACAGGAGCACAGGGAAGAGCTTGAAACAAGGGAGGTTTAGGGATGCTAAGTTCCAGGTTGCCTTAACTAAGGAAACTAAGGAAAGAAAAGAAAGCATGGGTAAGAAATGAAAGAATCCAAGAGAAAATTGATGTATTAAGCCAGCAATATTTGGATTTAGGACATGAATTCCATATTGCTTTAACTATGGAAGCCAGATTTAAAAGTGTTAAGGTTTTGAAAATGTTGTAGCTGAGTTAGCCAAGAGCAAACATGCTCTTATTCGGGCTCAAAGAAAAGAAAATGAATCTTTAATTAGAGACCTAACTTGCATGTTAAAGGAACAAAAAATAAAACTAGTAGAAGTTTCAAAATTGACACAGGAAACAGAAGTAAATTTACAGAATCACCACTCTTGAATTTTAATTGAAGGCACAGAGAAGAATATTCAAATAGAATTTTTCAACTATGAAAAAGACCATCTTATTTCTGAGCTAGCAGCCAAGGAATCACTAATTTATGGGTTAAGGACAGAAAGAAAAGTGTGGGGACATGAGCTGGTACAACAGGGGTCATGTCTGGATCAAAGCTGTGGAAAATTAGAGACCCAAATTGAAAGTTTATATAGAGAGAATGAAAGAGCATTGCATTGAGAGTAAAGAGCAAAATTATGGAAGACCAAATGGAAACCATTAGAAAATTCAAAGATAGTCTACAAGAAAAAGATGAACAAAGTATTACACGAAAAGGTCACTGAAATAGAAAAACTTACTCAACAACTGGCAGAAAAATCTTTACAGCTGGATAATATAACAAAAACTGGAAGGGCACAAGGAAAGAAAAAATTTAAAACAGCTGAAAGCAAAGGAATTAAAGCAATAAAAGCTTACAGTACACTTAGAAATGGCATGATAAAGGAGAAATTCTAAGTCATCTTGAAACACAAGTAAAAGAAATGAAAGAAACATTTGAAAACAAGGAAAGGAAACAAAGCAGAAAGAGAAAAAAGTATTGAAGTGTAGAAGGATACAATTGAAAAGCTTCACAGTGCCATACAGTCTTTAAAAAAAGTTTGGTCTTGCTGAGCATACACGTGCCTGCAAGTCTCAGCAGTTGACACCTGAGACAGCAGCCCAAGTGCCTGCTTAGCAAGTGCACGGTCCTGAGTTCGATTCCTGGTACCAAAAACTTTGGTCTTTAACAATTTACATAGATGAAATTATACAAGCATCTTAGAAAGCTAGGGATATTAAAAGAGGGCCAGAATTTGAATATCCAAGAAGTTCACAAAACAGCTTATTGAGAACAGCATAGTACCAGAGAGCAAGAGATGTGTTTCCAGCCAGGCACAGTGCCATGTGCCTTAGCCCTATGTAGAGTCCTAGCTACTTGGGAGGCTGAGACAGGAAAATCACTTTAGCACAGGAGTTTGAGACAAGCAGAACAACACGGCAAGAGCCTTTCCCCTAAATAAAAGCTTGGCATAGTGGCCTACACCTCGAAGCCCGGCACCTAGGAGACTAAGGCAGGAGGATCGTGAGTTTGAGACCAACCTGACCGATTTAGTGAGACTCTGCCTCTGAAAACAAACACAAGAAAGAGCAGTTATGTATCTGGCCTTGTCTCTCAACAGCTGTGTGACTGTGTGCCATCATTTACCATTTGCAGAGGGGGCTCAGCCAAGGAGTGAATGGTTAACTGTGGAGCAAGAGCACACAGCTCTGCAGAGTAAATGATTAAACAACACTTGTAAACTAGTGAGGCATGTTGTGGCCAGCTGCTGTCCTCCTGTGTCTAGCCTTGAGACAGTCCCTTGCCCAACCTGCTGTTCTTTTTCCCCTCTTACACTGATACTCTAAATAAAAGCCAAAAAGTTCCTGGCTTTGGTGCTCCTCCTGGAAGGCTCCCTGACACTGGGTGAGTCAGTTGGGAGAGCCCCTCTGGGCCTCGCGGTGTTCAGACCAAGTCTCGTCTTGAGTAATCTTTTCCTCTCTGCACCGCAGCCGCAGACTGTGAGAATTTACTCCTTCAGTGGGAGGTAGGACTGCTCACCTTGAAACAGGTCCCTCTGAAGAGCCACTCCATTGATGGTGATCTGTTCCAAGTGGTAAATTGTCCATTTGATAGGTTTTATTAGCAAAGCAAGACTTTTTTAAAAGAAATAGCTAAAAATACACATACATCACAGTTGACTATTTTTGTTAGTAATGGTGTGATTAATCAGTCTGACTTTTTTATACTATGAAGTGATAAATCTGTTTATTATAAAATAATTTTTGGTTGTTCTAAAAGTGTTCATACTAACTCATTTCTGATTTGATTTTTTGATTTCCCCAGTGCTCCAACTTTGGAAAGACAACCAAATGAAAATGGAGTATCTCTGGAGAATGAAAATTTTGAAGAAAGTATAACCTTACCCATTGGATCTAAGCCATCCAGATTAGATGTCATTAACAGGGAGAACCCAGAAATTCCTTTGAATCCAATTTTGGCATTCGAAGAGGAAGAGACACTTGGCCCCTTGCCTCAGGTAGATGGTGTTCAAACACAGCAGACTGCAGGTAAGCGTGCCTTGCACTCCCTTTTGTGGCCATCAGAAATATGTCACCCACAGAATGAGCTGCTGCCTTCTCCATGTGACCATGGTCATTGAAGCTAGACTTTGTCTAGGGCCCCTCCTGCTTTCCCCCTCAGTGCACAGCGCCCAGCAAGCAGCCCTCAGCCTCTGCTGCTGAGCAATGCTCAGGGTCAGCGTTACTATCAGGAGGTGCTTTGTGTCAGCCAAGGCCGCTCCCCTTAAAGGACAGTCCATGCGGCCTAGTTCTGCCCGCCTAAGAAGAGCTGGGGGATTTTTCTGTTTTTTTCAGATCTTTGGATACTTGAGACTGCCCTTATGTTCTCATACCATTTTTCCCTGCTTTGAATTTGGCAACCTGGGTCATGTTACCATCTTTTTAAAGTGTAATATCAGTGAAAGCTCTGTTATTGTGTTTCTTTTTTGTTGTTGTTGGTTTTTTTCTGTACTGCGTGAGTTATTTTTTCTAAAACCTCAGTATTCAGGTTTAATTGCAGGATTGGCACTTTACAATGAGTGGGTTTAGGGTTGCAGTTCGGGCACTCACCTCTAAAAGATTTGCCATCCCTGCTATGGATGCTGTTGAAACTGAGATTCTCTTCTGCACTGTCTTGGAGGCACTTTACCTGAAATCTTCGTACAAAATGAAGAGTAGCTTCAGGACCCAAAAAGATCAGGAATAACACGAAACATTATTAACTTGGTAGTTATTGCTCCTCAGCAGCATAGTCCTGTCACTTCAGAAATAAGGGAGACAGAGAGAATCCCAGCTCCCTTTTTCAACGTGTTTGAATTTTGTTGCTTTTTCTTCCTAGCAGATCAGTTTGTATTCTCACCTGCATCTGTTGATACCATGACAAGCAGAACCGATTCAGAAATTCAGGATATGTAAATGGAGTCAATATAGAATTATTTGTGGCCAGATTGTTTTGCCTTTTAGATTCCATCTGTGAACCCATAGCAAATAAACCTTTCAGGAAGTCAGTATTGAACCACCCACAAGCTTACCCTCCTCTAATGTACTGACCCTGGAGCAGAATTGCACTTTGATGAACTTCACCCTCTGGATACTGAAAGGTCGCAAAGTCCTTCCCCGGTCTGAGTTTCTGATCTTAACCCTTCAAGAATAGTCTAAATAATGTCATATTGGTGGACATATGCCAGTGTGGTTTCCTCCTTTGTCATGTCGCAGCATCATGGCAGGAGGAGTTCATGTGATTTCCTGCTCCTCCTGGTAGATCTTTTTTTTTTTTTTTTTTTTTTTTTTTTTTTGTCTTTTTCCTTTTTATCGGTACCAGGAATCGAACTCACAACTGCCTGCTTGCAAGGCAGGCACTTATGCTGCTGAGCTAAACCTCCAGCCCCCTCCTGGTAGATCTTATCAAGTCGCCTTGTAAATTATCTGTGAATCCATTTTCCCTGTTCTTCCCTTCCCTTCCCTGGAACCCTCAGTGTCGGGTACTAAGGACATCAACACATGAATGTTTAAATCCCTACCTCCGAGAGACCTATACCTGATATATACAGGGTAGAAGGTAAAAGGTATGGCCTGGGTTAGAGTAAAGGAAAGTCATGTGTTTTCTTTAAGTAGCAGAATTCACTGAAATATAAGGCTGTGAATCCTCAGACAAGTGCCTATTCTTATATAAGACAAAATATCTAACAACATGGTAATATTTTGGAAGTGAAGATACCACTGTCATTTTCTTTCACTAAGATTGTAAATAAGTGTCATATTAATCTGTTCCCTTTTATGTCTCCTCTTATAGAAGTTATATGAACATTTCTTCTGAAGCACCAAAGCAGAAATTGAGTCTCTATGATTAATGGAATTCCTTTCATGCCTCCAAGGAGCATCCATCCCCTCCAGTTTTCTAAAGATTGCTTGACCATCATTTTCAGGACTTTAAAACCAGCCGATTACAACAGACTTTTTAGTAATTTTCGCCAACAGAAAGAAATAAATGCTCCTTGTTCTGCAGTACTTTAAAATGGCTTTTTCCAGTGTGTTCCTTCTTAGCAAACTGATATTTTTCTGCATTCTTTAAAAGACAAGAGCATTTGACTCTAAAAGAAATGGGCTAAGCATGATTTTTCAGAGATATTTTGTTCTTAGAAGCTTAATGTATAAAATTGGCAAAGAAAAGTTCCTTTTGCAATACAATACTTGAAAAATAAGTACCTCTTTTCTCTACAAGTAGAGTGACTAGAGGAGGTGTTTAAATTAAACCTGTTTGTTTAAACATTGTTGCAAAAAGCTCTATTTGTAGAGGCAAATTATAGGCAGACTCCCAGGTTCTTGTAAATGCAACTTGCACTTGAACATTCTGTGAACCCCACTGTCTGTCACGTTCTTTTTGAGCTCCTTTTACAGAAGCACCCTAACAGTTTTAAAATGTGAAAAAGACGTTATTTTTTCAAAGCAAGACCATAACTTACTCACCTCTGACATAATGTATTTATAAGGTTTTTCCAAACCAATCAAATAAACTAGAGCAATGTGACAACACTGCAGATTTGCTTTCTGAGAGGCATTTTACTTCTGACGTTGCTGTGCGAGGGTGTCACTGGTGATTCAGGGCTACTGCTGACGTGTGTATGTTGCTGCTGTCCCCAAGGCTGGTGGGGACTGATCTTTGCCTTATCTGATCTCAAATTGTACAGGGCAGTGGGTGGGTGGGGGTTCCTGTTTCTTTAAGTAAAAAAAGAATTTGATTTTGCTCGTTTCAGAGCAACGAAAACGTGATAGAAGGTGGACCGCGCAGCATACTGGCCAGGGCCTCCGCTGGACCGTCCTCCCGCTGCGTGGCCGCCCACTTCTCACTTCTCACTTCTCATCATTATTCTTCACTTTGCTGCTGAGCCTAGCTGTACAAACGTGCACTTTCATTCACTAATATAAACTCCATTTTATTTTCCCATTTAAGAGACAACTAATGACTAAGTGTAGAAAGAGAGGGAACTCTGAGGGAATCCATGTCTTTATGTGGAATGTTTGAAAAAAAGATAAACTTATACCAGTCTAATGTGTTATTTTGTTAAAGGAAGGATTAGTTCAGCTCCTGGATTGAATGAGAGAATATTCATCTCTTGGACTGTTTCTTTTAAATCCAAGAATATGATCTTTAGCAACAGCTTTGTCAAAACATTAACTTGGGTTTTTTCTTATTTCAGTTGTCTGTGTACACATAGTCATTGTATTAAAAACTCTGTTCAACAAAGTTGTTTTATTTGTTTAAATCAACCTAGCATGAAACACCAAATAAAATATTTGCCATAGTTTTACTTTTAGGATTTTCATATGTCACAATTCAACACTTGGCCTTTGTTGTTTGTTTGGGGAGGAAGTATGTGTCAGTCTGAGTGTGTGTGTGTGTGTTCCTGAGAATCAAACCTAGGGCTCTCAAATGTGCTGTAGTGTATTGTTAGTTTCCAAATTGCCCTTGATTTAACCTCAGTGACCTTCTCCTGGCTCCCTGTTGAGTTGACAGATAGCATAGATTTATTTAAAATGTCAAGCAGTAGTTCCTCCCTGCCCCCAAAATACCAGAGATTGAGTCCAGGGCCTTGTGTGTGCTGGGCGCCCACCAGCTCCATTCCCAGTGCTGTCATTTATATTTTTAAACTTGTGCAATCATTAGCAAACTGAAATTCTTCTAAGTAATCAAGTTTAATTAGAGAAAATAGAAAATTTCTAGCTATATTAAGAGAATATATAGAGAATAACTTTGACCTTTAGAACAGCTAAATTGCATTCTGTCTAGCTTTTAAAACTATATTCCTCTACTGACCTTGAGATCATCTGTAGGGCTCCACATTAGGGAAAGTGCTAGGGGATCAAAGGTGACCCTCACTATAGGCTAAGGGTCCAGTAGCTTGCAGTTTGCTTTTATAGCATTGTAAACTGTAGGCCAAGTTAGTCATTCACTGTCACATCTTGGAAGGTGGCCTGCAGCTATTACAGAAGGTGAGTCTGTAGGTTTCCTCACTGACAAAAGCAAATCTGGAACAGTCTTTTACATGAATATTTATTAGCAAACAAGACCTCCGGGGAGCTTGGGGAACTTCCTTCTCTATTCCTAAGTAATTCCAGGGGCTGGAGATTTGGCTCAGCGGCATAAGCGCCTGCCTTGCAAGCAGGCAGTCGTGAGTTCAAGCCCCGGTACCGATAAAAAGGAAAAAGACAAAAAAAAAAAAACCATAAATAATCCCATTGGCATTTTGGGAAGAAGACTCACGGTAAGGCCAAAGCAGTGACACTCTTAAAGCAGAATTAAGTACTCTGGCTGAATTAGGCTACAGTCTTACACATGTGGAGGTGGGAAGTGGACAGAAGCAAAGAGAACTCTAGACCTAAGGTACTAATGAAAAGTCATTAGCTTGCAGGATCTGCTAGAGTCTTGTCTCATAGGTTTTGCCTCTTAAAAACTTTCTAGGCAACCATTTACCTTCCAAGCTGCACTGGCCAGTGAAAATTACTTACATGCCATGCCAGCTGATGTAGATTTGGATGATGATGTTGGAAGTATCTGCCTTGCTAGCTAACTAGGGTGTTTCAAATACACGACATAGTTTATCCTCACAGCACCTTAAGGTACATTTAGCAGTCACTAATCCACCTGTCTTCTGCTTTTTTTTTTTTTTAACCAAAGGAAATTATTTGACTATTGACTTCAATCTGTTTTGTATATTGAAGATTACAAGCATAGTAAAATAGCTATTGGGTCAAGTTACACAATGCATTTTCTAAAAATAAATGTACTAAAAAGCATCATTCCCTTGTTGTCTTAAAATGTTCACATAATGAACATGTTCACTTTAAGCACCTGAGTCCACTTAGAGACGCTCTGGGTTGGGTGGCAAACCTACCACACATGCGCCACAGTGGGGTGTGTTACTGAAAGTTCTAAAAGTTTCTCCATCGCTGCTCTAGGTGGTCACTGCCTCCCTTTGGCACCCCATTGGTTGTGGGAAGACACTCAGAAAGCTTTGCAAGACTTAGTGAGAGAAAAGCATGTTGTGTGAACAGAAGGGACAGTGCTGGTTTCATTATAATTAGAGATCTTGTTAATTATCTCCCTGGTGACTCAGGTTTTTATGTTGGTGGATTTGATTGCTACTTTAGGGATCAAAAATAATTTTAACAATTATTGCAAAAATTAATAAAGTTCAAAAGAGTCTCTGATACCTCGCAGAAGGGTATAAGGACAGGCTGAGATGGACTAATAGTTGGAAGAAGCAGCAACACTATTAATCGTTGGTATCTGGAGCAGTGCTTAGGCTTGAATGCCAGGTCTGCTACTCCTTGGCCATAGGAGGCTTGAAGTTACTTGTGTTCTCTGTTGATTTTTTTCATCTCTAAGTGGGAGAACAATGCCCATCTCATCGGGTTGTCTTAGTAGTTATTAAGGTTGAATTAAATGAGAGTAAAGTTTCTGCCACATTATAAATGTTCAGACTATTTGAGATGCCTGTGGAAGATAGGCAGAGGGTATCAGGAAACTAGCAGGCAGAAACATCACTTTTTCTAACAGTGGACTGGAGTGCCATTAGTCATCTTTTTAAAAGGATGCTTCTTGGCACCTACCAAATGAGCTAACCAGGAACTATTTTCACTAGAACAGAATTCGTGTTTCTAATCACTGTGTTGGTATTACATTATGATTGCATTTCATGATCATTCTTTCCTCCACCTCTCCCAAAAATTACAGCTACTTGACATTGTCATATATTTGGAGACATTTCCTGACACCCTCTAGCACAGAGTTATAGGTGCCTACAAACCTGGGGATGTTTAATGCTTTTCCAGAAGTCACAGTCAACCTTGGTCAGCTTCTAAATCAGCTGGCTGAGAGGGTAATTAGGCAAGTCAGGTGTCAACTGTCTGTGACAATGTCTTTTGCTCCCTCTGTCCTGAGATGTATTAGGCAAGAACTGGTGGCCTTTCTTGGAGTGGCAGATCAGGAATGGCCAGCCTGGACACTAAGAGTGTTTGGTTGGTCATCCTTTGTCCTCAGGTTGCCAGGAATCCTTCTCACTCAGTTGTACCTATTCCACAGTTATTTCTGTCACAGTGACCTGACCTGTGGCTTATGGGGTAACTGCATCTCAGTAGGAGTTTTCAAATTTACTAGAGGGACAAATGGAAAAGTTAAGTGAAAATTGACAGCAGTGACTGGTATTATTTTGCTAACAGTTCAAAAAAACAAAAAAGGTTGCTATCACTGACCCACTTCTAGGTCTGTACCTTGACATGTCTGAGAGTCTCACCAAAGGCCCTGCCTCCAGTGTGATCTTTTCTTCCCTACAGTGGGGATTAAGCCCAGGGCTCTGTTGAATTTGCCAGGCAAATGCTGTAACACAGAGCTACATCTCCAGCCCTTTTTATTTTGAGACAGGGACTTTCTGAGTTGCTCAGGTTGGCCTTGATCTTGAAATCCCAGAGTAGTTGGGATTATAGGTGAGCAGCTCTGCATGCAGCTGAACGCTCCGATTCTCACCTTTGTCCTTTCCTGGAGCTCCTGCAGAGTGGAGCTCCTGTCACTGGTGGCTGGCTTGGTACTGCTCCATTTTATGACCTTTCCTCCCTGTTCAGTTTCCTCTAGGAGGTGGAGTTCCTGCCACCTCCTAGATAAACTACTTGTACTCAAATCATCAGAAGATCTGCCTCCGGGGACACCAGAACTAATGTTTAGCACAATTTATATAATTTTTACAAGTGCTAGTTTATCTTATTCAAAGAGCTTAGAAGTTTAACAAATAAATTTAACTTGGAAAAAAAGCTAATGTTCTTATTTTGTCACAGATTTGCACCCATCAGACTATATTTTCAAAGTAACTTCAGTTCTTTGGATAAAATTACCATCAGATAAAATTAACAATGGTGAGTGTACTATAGCTTCATCTATTATCTTTTCTACTCTATTTTCTGGCATTGAATTGTTTTCTTACCTTTGTAACTATGTCCTCAGATGCTTTTTACTGAGGTCTTTAGGATTTAAAAAAAAAGCCATGTATGGTGGCTATTATCCCAACTACCTGCGAGGTTGAGGCAAGAGGATCACAAATTTGAGGCCAGCCTGGACACTTAACAAGACCCTGTGTCAAAATGAGATGATTTTTAAAAGGACTGGGGATGTAGCTCAGTGGAAAGGCCCTAAATTCAATCCTTAGTGCTGCAAAAACCAAACAATAACAAAAACCCCCTTGATTCACAGTCCCTGAAACCTCTTTTAGTTCAAGAGGCAAGTCCTACTGCACTATCCCTGTGCTCCTGCTGCCAAAGCAAGGGTTGGAGTACCAGTGTCTGTCACTTCTCTCTCTCTCTCTCTCTCTCTGTCTCTCTCTCTCTCTCCTCCCCTTCCTCCTCCCTCCCCCAACCCTCAAGACTTATTTATTTATAAGAGTTTCATTGTGTTACTCAGACACAAATGATTCTCCGACCTTAGCCTCCTTAGTAGCTGAGACTACAGTCCTGTGCCACCACGCCCAGTTCTCTATTACAATAATGTTTTAGGTAAATTGAATATAAGGGCAAAAACCTTAAAAGTCTACTTTTTGATGAGAAAATAATAGGAAGGAATGGAACAGAAATGTAGCATAGTTCCAAAACTAGAAGCGTATTAAAGATGAATTTGACATTCTCACCAAAAGGTGTCACCATCACTATGGTAACTTACCGGCTTCCCTCACATCGTGGGTGATGACATTCTCTACTTAACCTCTGAGCCAACTGGAAAAGGTCCATGTTCCTCCGATCTTGTGTCTAGGATTGGCACACACCCAGATCCATTTGTGCTTGACTCATGCTACAAATCTTGCTTCTCACAGCCGAGCCAGTTCCTGGTTGCTAGCCCCCGCTTTTAGAGGGAAAGCAGCCGTCCAGAGCAAGACACCATCCCGGCTGCTCCCAGCTGCTGCTCTGTGCGCACTGTGTCCCACACCTGCCAGACTCTGCCCCCGCTGTCTCTCCCCTGCCATGCACCATCCCAGGCCGTAGCTTTCCTCCATGAGGGATTCTTTTACACTTGCTTCGGTTTCTCAACAATGATGAGACTCAAAAGCCAGCAGCCTGAAGAAACTACTACAAAAGTCACTGAGACGAAAGGGTTACTTTGCCCAAGGCGTGGCTGGCAGGACTTGACACCAGGTCTCAGCTGTGTCCCGAAAGCCAGGCCAAGGGAGTCTCAAGGAAGGTGGGACACCGACATCTCTAATGTTCTGAGGAGCTGCGGAGCCCTGACTGTCACAGCCTCTTCTGCACTCTGTCAGTTTCATAAACGCCAATAAATCCTTCTTACAAAGGAATTTGGAGGTTTTCTGCTTTTTGGCTCCGGGAGGAGGAGAGCCATTGGATTTAGGGTTCCATCCCTGGAGACTGTATCGGTGAAGAACCTACGGCTTCCTGGTTATTGTGTTTGTCTTTTAAGACAAAAGATGTTAATATAGAGTTGTTTTTCTACAATAAATCCTCAGTATCCAGGTGTAATTGTAGTGTTGGCCCTCCGTGATAAGTAAGTGGGTTTTGAGTTGCAGTTTGGTACTTGCTCTCTAAAAGGCTCACCATCACTGCTATAGCTCCTTTTATCCTCGCAACAGCCCTTCGAGGCTGGCACTGTTACTATTCTCTAAGACCCACTGTAGTAAAAGCACCTGAGAAAGTAGCTGGCCCGGACTGAAGCCCAGATCTGTCTGCCACAGAGGGCCAGCTCACAGCCACAGTTCCCTCTGTCATGTGGCCTCCAAAATTGGCTCTATATCATGTGAAGAGAATTATTTTAACAATTGACTCTTAAAAAACAAAACAAAACAAAAAAATCTGAGTCTGGAGGTATGCCTTAGCAGTTACCAAGAAGAAAAGTGGAAGGCTAGGATAAATTCCGTGATGCTGAGTTGGATTTGGAGGTATTGATGTGGTTTCTAATATTTAGAGAAACAGGTGTGTGTGCTGTGTGTGTGTGTGTGTGTGTGTGTGTGTGTGTGCATGCACATTTGTCTCTTAGCTCTCTCTACTAAAGAGAACAATGACACTAGGAATGAACCTACCCAGCCTGGAAACTGGTTACTGAATACCATCCTGTACTAAAAGGAGCCAGAGCTCTTTGAAGAAATAGTGGATTGCAGCGTGGGGCGGAGTAAGTACAAGGCGATGTTGATAAATTTCATGCCCCGAAAAGTGAAAATGTGCCTCCCAAATTATAAGAATGTGTCAAAAGAACACAGGAAGATACTTTACTGGCCAAATGTAGGACAAATTAAGCACCAAGATAATAGCAATAGTAATTGATTGTGATGCATTGACTAAATGAATCTTTGAGGCTTAACTAATATAAATTAATACATAAAATAGGGGAGAATAAAAAGCTCTGATTCATAACTCAATTCCAAGTAACTACTACAGGAAGAATAATGGAATTTAAGACCATCATTTTGCATCTCTACTAATAATCGATTCAGGCCGTAAATATCTATCAGTCCCACAAATAAATGAACAAAAATTTGATGAGCAATAGCATACATATAACCTTGGTGTTTTGTTTTGTGTTTGTGTTTTGAGAAAGGATCTCACTGTATAGCTCAGGCCGGCCTTGAACTCATGCTCCTCCTGTGTTGGCATCTGGAGCACCGGAGTTGCAATCATATGCTCCATCCCTATGCATAAGTCTTAAAGTGAAAGCATTAGTCTAACCCTAACCCTAAAATATCTATTATTTAGGAATTGAACTCACAACCTCACACTTGCCAAGTAGGCACTTAAGCCACTGAGCTAAATCCCCAGCCCAACACTAGTTAGTTTTAAAGTGGAGAAACCTGGCAAGTATCAGCTTAATAAGATGCTACACTGGTCCTAGTCATGGGACAAATGCATACGTGCGTGGCCTTATGTGATACACTGGGGAGGCATGGCATTTTGGTATTTCTGTCCAAAACATATAATCTGAATGTAATGATAAAGAAACAAACAATTCCAAAATAAAGAGCACCTTACAAAATAACAAACATGTATTCTTTTTTTTAAAATTTTATTTAAAAGGAAAAAGAGAAAAAACAAAACAAAACAAAGCAGTGTAAGGGTACAAGTAATACAGAACTACAAAAAAAAAAAAAAAAAAAACAGTAAGAAATCACCAGTTAATAGATTACACATTATCATCTTAGAGCTAGTTGCTCAAGTCACAGTATCAAAGCATACAAAGTGGACATTAAAACAGCAAGACCGCAAACAGTTGTGTTCAATGATCCAACCAAAAACATTAATATGGTCAGCTATTTAACACCCCTAAACACACTTGCAGTTGTATCCTTTAGAGCACTTTTTTTCCCTCTCTTTTTTACAACACAATTTACACATTTTGGGTTTTATTACTTCTTAGTTCTTATTACTTTTCTTTTTTTTTTTTTTTTTTGGAAGAGAATAAAGTCAAATATGGCAAAACAAAGCTGTCAGTCAAAACCAAGGATAGACATAGTACATGATGTAAAAACAGAGTACAAGGTTATAACAGTGGTTACCATAATGCCTCTTGCTTCCTTAAAAAGAATTGTCTATCTCATTAGGTATTATAAAGTTGAACAAAACAGTAGAGAACAAGACCAATAAAACCTAAACCTTGTAAACATTGCAGGACTTCCAAAGAAGATAATAGCCAAACCAGAATGGGCATCTTAGTGAATCTTATTGCTGTCAAAGCAGTTGCCTATACTCTCAAACTTGATACTATCATACAGAATGGAACAAAGTCTAATCAGTCAAAACAAGATAGTGGGAGTATTACAGGACTTCAAATCAAGTTAATAGGAAATCAAAAAAGTTACTATAATATATCCTGCTCATTTTTTTATTTTTCCCCTTAATTAAAAAAATCATAAAAATAACAATAATTTTTTTAATGAATAAGGGAGAGATTGAGATAAAAGAGGACATAACAACATAACAATACAGGTCAAAGCATGACAGTTTAAGCAACCTAGTGCTTCACCACCAAATAACCCAACTTAATAGTAGTTACCATAGTGTCTTTTTCCTTTAAATAGTTGAATATAACTTCATATACTATAGCTTCAAATATATCAAGTCAGTGTAAAACCATTCAAGTGGATGAAAGCATTGTAGGGTATTTAGAACCAGCTAACAGAAAACGAACAATGGTTTCTTTTTTTTTTTTTTTTTTTTTTGTCTTTTTCGTTTTTACTGGTACCAGGGATCGAACTCACGACTGCCTGCTTAAGGCAGGCACTTATGCCGCTGAGCTAAATCCCCAGCCCCTGAACAATGGTTTCTATATTATCTCTTTGCCTATAACAATTTTTGTTTATACTATCACATATAATAAAATCCAGCAAGATACATCATGATAAAACCAATGGAGACAGAAGAGCCATAGTTTGATGGGGCTTCAAAACAAGATGATAGTAAATCAGCACTAGCTATTATGATGACTTATTTTCTTCAAAATAGCTGTTCATTTCATCACAGGCAATAATATCAAGCAGCCCAGAATAAAGCCATTCCGATTAATAAGTACACACTTTATAAGGCTTCAAGGCCACATAATGGGAAATCATGATTACCACATACTTTTATATATTTGAATCATTACTTACATGGTAAACTATTCAGTATTCACACATGTGAGATTGATTTATTTCACTTATGAGTATGGTCTCAAGCTATGCCCATTTATTGATAAATATCTCAATGTGATCCTTCTTTATAGCTGAGTAATACTCCATTGTATAGAAATACCACAACTTTTTTATCCATTCCTCAGTTGATGGACACTTGGGTTGTTTCCAAGATCTGGCGATTACAAATTGTGCTGCTATAAACATAGGTGCACGTATATCACTGTGATATGATGCTTTCAGTTCTTCTGGGAATATGCCTAGAAGTGGAATAGCTGGAATAAATGGGACTTCCGATCCCAGCTTTTTGAGAAATCTCCAGACTGACTTCCACAAAGGCTGTACCAGTCTACACTCCCACCAACAGTGCAGGAGAGTTCCTTTTTCCCCACAGCCTGTCCAGCATTTATTGTTGTTGGTTTTCTTGATCCTGGTCATTCTTTCAGGAGTGAGATGGAATCTCAGTGTGGTTTTAATTTGCATTTCTCTAATGACCAATAATGATGAACATTTTTTCATGTATTTATTTCCCATTTGTATTTCTTCATCTGAGAAGTGTGTATTCATCTCAGATGCCCCTTTTTGGATTGGATCTTTAAATTTGGGGGGGCTGAGTTTTTTTTTAATTCTTTATAACAAACATGTATTCTTCAAAAATTGTGAGGCTGAGGCAAAAGAATCATTGTTTGACCAGCCTGGGCTGCGTTGTAAGACCCTGTCTCAAAATAATAAAAAAGTAAGGCCATGGAAAATAAGGAAAGGCAAACATTTCCAGATCGAAGGAAACTTGAAAAAGAAAAATAAGAACAAATCAACATATGTTCCTAGAAGCTGGGGCTATAACTCAGTGGCACAGCACCTGCCTGGCAACTGCACCTGCCTGGCAAATGAAGTCATGAGTTCGAGTCCCTGTACAAAAAAACAGTTCCTAGATGAACTCTTTTATCTACAAAAGATAATATTGGAATAATAGCCAAAACAAATTGGGCTCCATGAGTTAACTGGTAATGTAACAACATGAATTTCATGGTTTTACTTATACTCTTTTTGCTCAGCCTTCTGAGTAGCTGGGGTTACAGACATACACCTCCATGCCTGGCTACCTTCTCTCTCTCTTTTTTTTTTTTTTTTTTTTTTTTTTTTTTTGGTACCAGGGATTGAACTCATGACCTTGCGCTTGCCAGGCAGGCATTTATGCCACTGAGCTAACTCCCCAGCCCCTCTTTTTTTTTCCTCTCTCTCTTTTAAAATGTATTATCTCAGTTATTTTGTTGCAGCTTATGTTGCAGTTTGTTGCAGAAACCCAATGTTGGAGCAAATGTAGTAAAAAGTTAACAACCAACAATCTAGATGAAGGAGATAGTTATTTGCATTATTTATGAAATTTTACTATAAATTTAAACTTATTTCATTTTATTTTTACTTGAAAGAGACTAAAACAAGACAAAGTACAACAGAATAAAGTCAATCAAAACAAGACAATGAAAGTGATACAGAACTTCAAAACAAGATAACAGGAAATCATCAATGGCTACCCTAATGCCTCTTGTTATTTTCAAGATAGCTATCCATACCCTCAGACATGATAAAATCAATCAAAACAAAATGGAATAAAATCAAACAAAACAAAACAATGAAAATGATACAGGACTTCAAAGCAAGATGATAGGGAATTAACAATAGCTACCATAACGCCTTTTCTTATCCTCTAAATAGCTGCTCAGACTACCAGCTTTAGGTCTGCAGAGTCAATCAAACAACACAAGCATGAACTTGTTTCCTTACTTCAGTTGCCGTCATCTCAGCCCGTCCTCTGAATCAGCAGTTGCTGCCCCAGGACTAGGGGCGGGGAACAGCTCTTCCTCTCCTGGTCTGTGCCAGCTGGCTCCTGGGGTGGGGGTGGCTTCTTAGTTCTCCCCTGGCCAGTGCCACTTCTGCTGGTTCACAGGTGGGCTTATGTTAACTTATTTTAAAACATAAAATTTGTTTTAAAAACATATGTATACAAATTTGGGATGATCTGAGTCCATTCAGCTTGCCATTAACACAAAAGATATAATGACAATTAAGACATTGCTTAAGGATTCCAGAAATACCTGGGCCATCAGCCAGCTCATAGGCCCTTAGTAAGTCATGTGGTAAAATGACTTCCAGCTTGAAACCTTAATCTAAAGCACTAGTGACATTCACCAGCCTTCCAACAAGCCAGGAGACTCAGGAGTTAACTCCTTGACCTGGTCACACAGCTGTGAAGGCTCAAGGTGGCCTATGACTTCAGGGCCACTGCAGGCACAGCTCAGGTGAACGAATATTCCCGTATACTCATTGGTGGAAATTCCAAATTGTGCGAGATAACCAGTCAAATATTTCTTTGTTTTATTTTGTGTTGTGTTGTTTTGTTTTGTTTTGTCTTGTGACAAGGTCTTGCCATGTAATACATGCTGGCCTTGAATTCACAGTGATCTTCCTGCTTTAGCCTCAAGTGCTGGCATTCCAGCTGCGCACTTATATGCCCAGCTCCTAGCACTAAGATTCTAAAATATACATTTCTAGGTTTCTTTTCTTGGGGACTGATCCACTTGGTGTATGGTGTGAGTGGGGATCAACATTCTACATTTTAATGATTGTCCCAAGGGATCATCAGGATGAGGCTTTCACTGGCTCTGGCCATGTGTGTGAAGCTTCCACCAGGCTAAGGTGCAGAGGTGACATGGAACTCTGCCCTCAAGTACTTTCTCTTAACCTGGGTTTAATGTGGCCGTGTCTTGGCCCTCCAGTGCTGAAACAGAGCTGTAGCTTTGTAAGGGAAACAGGAAATGGTCATTTCCGTGACATGTGAGCAGAGCCATGCAGCCTGGCCCTGCCTGAGACAGCCCCCAATATGCCCACCCTCTTGGGATCAGCATGGATGACACCGCTTTTATTCAACAAAGGGTCTCTGTTTGGATACAGATTATATCATTAGGTTGCTGGAGCCCCTTTGCTGGTTCCCAGAGGCAATTTGTCTCCCGTGAATTCTCAGATTTGTCCCCATCTTTGGTCAGCAGATCTCTGACCAGACCATGTGGCATTTTGTGACCAAGACTTAAAAGAAGCACCAGACCGTGAGAGACATTTATAGTCTCATTAAGCACAGGCAGAGAACTGCCTGCACACTGAAGTAGCTTTGTGCATTCGCTTAAAATCACACACACACACACACACACACACACACACTATTGCTCTGAAAGGAAAGGTACTTTCTTAAACCCAATGCTTGCTCATCAAAGCAGTGCGTGTTTGTGTATGTGAAGTCCGAGTGCCTTATGCTGATGGCTTCTCTCCACACCATGATCATTTGGCTCTGAATGTGAGTCTCTGTTTCCCTGCAGCTCAAATTGGTTTCTCAGCCTGCTCCCTGCTACTTTCTTGATAACAACATAATCATTCACTCTCCAGATGGAAGTGACAAGGGTTGCCATGACAAAACAAATAGGCTTTGCTGGCAGAGGCTTTGTATGTAGCTGTGTGTCTCCACTGGGAACCGCCTGTCTGACAGCCTGGGAAGTCGCAGGCAGCATAAAATGTTCTAAAAGGATACATCCAGGCAATAAAGCCATGAAAGCAGTGTCCTTTATAAGAAGTCCTTCAGACTTCTTAAGTCTGAAGAATTCCAGATGTTTAATTTAAAAATGTGGGGGCTGGGGATTTAGCTCAGCAGCATAAGCACCTGCCTTGCAAGCAGCTGGTCGTGAGTTCGATCCCCGGTACGGATACAAAAAAAAAAAAAATGTTTTTCCAATTCTAGATACAAGCTCTGCTGGTATTATTTTTCCAATAACCATCATTGGTTTGTGCCTGCTTTGTGCAAGACTCACCATCTCCATGATTTCTGTTGGCTCTTGATTTCAAATTTCAGTCCATCGTCGACTGGTCCTGTTGCCTCTAGGCCTATAGTGGATGGGTAGAGTGGGGCAAAGCTGCTGATGAACTGAGCCTGAGAGGATGGGGCTGGGGCTGGGAAACAGTCCCCAAATTCACGGGTAAGGTCCCACTTCCTTCAGTGAGACCCAACTCTTAAATTTCTGTCACCTTTTAATAACACAATCAATTATGAATCCACCATTGAGTTAATACACAACCCAGTCACCTCCCCAAAGCCTCACCTCTGAGTGCATGAGATTTTGGGGGGACATTTAAATCCAAACCATAGCAGAGAGCTATATAAATAGAGCCTGTAACTCATATGCACTGTGTTTGACGCTTTAGGGTTTGGAAGGAGAATGGTAAAGAAAAATAATGTGAGAACTAAAACACCCATGAGACTTAGACGCCTGTTGTCACCTCTGCCCTCAGATAACTTAATGAATAAAGCCAGCACATAAAGTCAACAGTCATGGGCTATAAATATTACCTTGATTCCCCATTTTGTTCTCTCCTGCTGTTCCCATGGAGACGCAGCTTCTCAGTTTATCTGGAAGTCAAACCACCAGGGGACACAACTGTGCAAGCTTCCAGACAGGCCCCGTGGCAAGCCAGGTCACGAGGCTTCGCCCCCCTCTGAACTGACTTACTCCTTTCCCTTTCTTTCTTCCTCCCTCTCACATGGTCATTAGAAACTGACCATGCGATGGGCTTTGTAATGAGATATGAATGCAGTGAAATCTTCTCCATTTAGAGGGGGAAAGAAACCAGTGTCTGGTGACGGGCACTTGTGGATCTTCAGTGATAGCCACTGATTTTCTGCCACGCAGAAACCAAGCTGGGAACCATGGCTAGACTCACAGACATCACTGATACCCCCAGGGGCTAATTAGACACCCCACCCCATTCTAGGTGCTTAATGAAAACATGCACGCTGATGTGCTAACACTGAGTTCTGTACTTGTAACCAGCAGGGGTGCTTGCAAATAGAAGCTACCTTTGAATGAAGTGTTGTGACCTGGTCGATGCCTCTGAGCACCACTGCCTCCTGCGTGAGCTAAGTAGAGAGCTCTAACTGGGCTAGCCTGGCACCAGGTTTTTTCCCTTGTTTTTCAAGATGGGTATTGAAAAACAAACCTACAAAAGCAAACAAACAAACAAAAGACTTAAGTGAAAAAACCAAAGAAAACAAACAAAAAACCCCAAACAAACTTTGGTGTATTTACTATGCATATAAGAAGTTCTCATAGAAAAATTAATGACTGAAAATATTAGTAGTTTCCAAGGATAAAACCTAGTAATAATGAGAAAAAAAACTGAGTTATCTTAGAAGAAGAAAAGCAAAAACAACAAAACTGAGGACAAACTCATTCCTGGATTGTTTGGGGTTGGTTGTTTATTTTTTGAGACAAGGTCTCACTATACAGTTTAGCCTGTTTGTTTATTTGTTTTGCAACAGGGCCTTGCTATATATATAGTTTAGGCTGGCCCTGAACTCACTGTGTAGCTCAGGCTGGCCTCAAATTCGTGGCCATCCTCCTGTCTCAGCATCCCAAGCGCTGGGATTACAGATGTGCACCACCACACGGGGCTCTGTTTTCTTTTTGATTCCTTCTGCCATCCCGCTTTGTAAGCCTTCTGTTATGGATTTAAAACTAGTGGTCAATTTAATACCAGCTGAATTAAATCAGCATGGTGCTGAGCGTAGATAGCCCACCTGAGGAAAGCTGCCAGCATAGAGACATGGAGGAGAAGAGCTAGGCGTTGTGGGTTTCTGTAAGTGTTGCTGTTTTTGAGTCGTTGGTTCTCCTGGAGGAACTCATCAGGACTAGCTTCCCCAGTGTGAGTTAAACCATTGTCATTTAACTAGGGACCTTGTTGGTGAGAATGGCTGTGGTTTACTTTGGGGGAGCTCTGGCCCTTACATTGAGCATCACTTTCTGGCTCCAGAGGGGAAGATGTGTGCTGTTTACTCTCCAGGAGAAAATCATGATGCTGGCTTCCGGGCATGTACTTGTCGGTTCTTATTGTCGGTGGATCTCAGGACCTCCGTGTCACTGAGGATGGCTGTGGTACTTTTCAGGGCAGTCCTGGTTCTTATTTTGAGTGTGACTTCTCAGTTCCAGCACAGTTCCTTCCCCACGCTGGCATAGAATTTCTGGCTTCCACTGCTGACCTTTGGGCCTTTCCAGAATGGGTCCATAAAACAGACTGGTGTGAGTCCTTCTCATGAGCTCTCGACCTCCAGCTGTACTTGTGGAAGGCATTGTTATGGGCTCTACATTTTCATCTGGACTCATGTAGGACATTACTGTGAAATCCAGACCCTTGGCTGAATATTCTGGGTCTTCAGTGTTGTGGACAGATTTCCTGTACTCAGCGTTAAATTCTGGGTGGCCATCATAAATAATATTATAAATTCTGTGTCCTGATTCTAATTGTTCTCCTCACAACATCTTCAAAAAAAACTTTATTGAGACACAGTCTAACTAAGTTGTCTAGGTTGACCTGAAATGCACGATCCTCTTGACTCAGCCTCCAAATAGCTAAGATTACAGGCCTATGCCCCCTGCACCAGGTTCAAAGAAGACTTTTAATGAAATTTTATGAATCTTTGATTTAGGCTCTTAGTTCTCTGCCTTCTCATAGGATATACTGCCTAAAATTGGAAAAGGAGTGGAAATTAAGATTTAGTCTTCAATACATATATGAATAGCTCATTGACTAGAAAACCATAGCTTCTATGGAGAATCTTGTTCAAGCCAGTCTCATAATCTTCATTTACCTTTTTTATTGAATTCCCACCATTTTTCAAGTCAAATTTTAGCAGCACCATTTGTCATTTTGCACATGAAGAAACTGAAGCTTAGAAAAATGAAGGAACTTCCCGAGTCTCACAGTTAATAAAAGCCAGAGCCTAGATGTGTCTCACTCTATTCTTTTTCTTTTCCTCCATGCTGTTATTCAACTATTCTACTTGGGCATCCAAAATATATGAACCATGGTGATTAAAGATAGAAAATATTTTATCTTAGTCCTAAAATTAGGTGTGTTTAAGGGCAATGTATTTAGAAAATTTTCCAAATATAAGATCTACATAGAAAAAAATCTAAAATAAAAATAAAATGTAAAAAAAAAGAAGAAAGATTGAAGAGAAGGTAGGGGAAGGAGAAAAAAAAAGAATCAAATTATATCACGTACAGATACAAATTCTGTATGATGAATATGATCATTATGTATACCTAAAATGTACCAATAAAATCAGATTGAAATATATAAAAAATAAACTAAAAGAGGAGGAAAAACTAAACCTTAGCTTCCTCTCTTTTGGGGAGGATAACGTGTACCAGAAAATTCTGCCAACCCCACCGTATTTTAACATGGCTGCTCTGGGGGCTGGAGAGTCTCCCCACCGCAGGCTGACAGGGCAGTTCTGTGGGAAATATTGGCACACACTGTTGGCTGCCCTGCTTTCTCCCCCCACGCCTCCTTCTGTCCCTCCCACTGAGCCCTAATCCTATTCAAGGCCGTATAAAATGGGATTAAAGAAAACACAGTCAGCAAAGAAATCCTTGCTAACCTTCATTCTGACACTGGGCATTTTCTGGACACACATATAATCTTTGTTAAGTCCTGGAGGCCCTGGTCCTGGCCCCTTCTGCATGGGATTTATCCTCTCAGGAAATATGTGAACAAAGGGCAGGAGAAGAAAGAGAGAGCATAAGTGGACTAAGTCTGTTATTGAAGCTTTCGCCTTCAATGAAAAACAAATCAAAGCCCCCACCATTACGTCAAGTAATGGCTGTTTCAAATCACGTGCTATGTAAATGTGTGTTTCTCAAGAGCCAGTTCTGTACTACTCACAGAACTCCTAAGGCTTTTCATTAAATAAAGACAATTTTGTTGTAGTTGTTAATAGGACCCCAAAGTACCAAAAGCCAGTCTAACATGGACGCTGACATTTCTCTGTAGTTCTGTAGCTATTGCTGCCAGTTGGAAGGTTTTGCTGCCTGAGGGTTACTCTGAGTGAAGAATATGTGGCCTCTATTTTTACAACTGTATCATCATTATCACCCATGATTCTTCTCTTTTTCTTCCTTCCTCTCCTGTTTCCTTTCCTCTCCCACCTCAAATTTTATTGAACTTTTTCATGTCATGCAGTTAGTTTTGATTAGTTTTGTAGTTTGTGGTGTGTCACAGCATACGCCAATTATTTATCCCTCCATTTTTATACTTTCTCACAGTTACCTTTTAATTCTTTTTTAGGTTAAATGAAAATGTATTTTAAGTTAATGTAAGTGTTAGTTTTGTTCCCCTGGTACTAAGAATCAAAGCCAGGGCCTTGCGCATGCTGCCTGATAAGCACTGTACCACTGAGCTGCACCCTCAGCCTATGAATGTTAACATCTCATGTCAGAGAGCAAAAGGTCTGCTTTGTGGTAGCTAATACAATTGCAAACATTTTCAGAATTCATTGTAAAACTAATTTTTAAATATGTAAAAAGGAATAAGTGCCTGCCTCAGAAGTACAAGGTCCTAAATTTGATCCCCAGTTCAAAAAAAAAAAACAAAGGTAGGGGCTGGAGATTTAGCTCAGCGGCATAAGCGCCTGCCCTGTAAGCAGGCAGTCATGAGTTTGATTCCTGGTACCAATAAAAAGGAAAAAGACAAAAAAAAAAAAAAAAAAAGGTGGAAAAAATCCAAAAGGAAAGAGAGTCTCATTTGGGAGTGATTAACGTGATTAAGAAACAATACATTTTTTTTTTTTAAATTGAGGACTGCACTCAGAGACTATAGCCTTAATTTTATGTTTTACTTTGAGCCTTTTTGATTTTTTTTATTTTGATACAGGGCCTTACTAAATCAATAATTTGCCCAGTCAAATTTGTAACTCTTCTGCCTCAGTCTCCCTGACTGCCGGGATTATACTGCCTTGCCCAGTGACATATAATGGTTTTTACTCGAAAGGAAAATGCAAGCTTTGCTCACGAAGGACTGAAAGGTGAGGTTTACCGATTTGAAATAGTTTGATCAGGGCTGCACAGGGAATGATCTTAGCTATGCAAATCCTTTTACTTTCCGTTCTCAGCAGTGGGGTCACGGGAAGCAGTCCTGCAGATCTGCATGAGAGCAGCTGCTCCACATCTGGGACTGCAGAGCGCGCTCTTTCCTTGATGATGTGAAAGTGAACGACCTCCAGACTGGGGGTGCAGTGGGCAGGGACAGTCATCCTGCAGGATGCTGAAGCAGCAGAAGAGCAGATCTGCCTGTGGCTGGATGGAAAGATAGCATCCCAGGCTCTGTCCCTGGGGTATCTGCCTGCCTGCTCCATCTCCTAGGGCTGTCTGCTAGCTCCGCTCTTCCTGTTTTCTCGTGCCTAAATGGCCATAATCACAGCACCTCCCTCCTAGAATAAGGACTGGATGAGATAAGATGAAACATTTCCAATAGATTTGACAAAAACGTTAGCTATTCTTATTATCATGACTGTTACTCCTGTACTGTTATTACACAGCGAAAAGAAACCCAAAGCTGTAGTGTCAAGCCTCGAGCCATATTACAAGTCTGTGAATTTGTGGGAGTGTTTTGAAGGATCATTAGCAAAAGCAAAGAGCACAT